ATTTATAATCTTAAAATGAGTGGTAGAAACAGTAGCAATCTCATTCATTTAAAAAAGTGAATATTCTGACATAACTCAAGTAGAAAAAGAAAATATAGATCATGAACACTGTATGTTCAGAAACATTATAACAGTCAGGAACATTAAAAGTCCCAGCACTCAGGAGACTGAGACCAGCCTGAGTTACAAAGTAAGATCCTTCTCAAAAACACAAACAAAAACAAAACACAGGAATAGCAATGTAGCTCATCTTAATTGCCTAGCATGAACAAGACCCTGGGTTCAATACCTAACAGAAAAGAAACAAGAGAAGGAAGGAGGGAAGAGTGAAAGAAAATTATGACCAACCTTAAGATCGCATGGGAATCAGAAAAAAGAGTTACAAATATGAATATCAAGATAACTGAAAAACTAAAAAGCTCGGGCTGGAAAGGTGGCTCAGTGGTAGAGTGCTTGCTTTGCATGCATGAGACCCTGAGTTCTATTCCTCAGCACCACATAAACAGAAAAAACCGGGAGTGGCGCTGTGGCTCAAGTGGTGGAGTGCTAGCCTTGAGCTGAAGAGCTGAGGGACGGTACCCAGGCCCAGAGTTCAGGCCCCACAACTGACACACACAAAAAAAAACAACAACTAAAAAATGCACATTTCTGGACACTTAAAACACAGAGTTTGAGTGGCGCTGTGGCTCAAGCGGTAGAGCACTCGCCTAGAGCTGAAGAGTGCAGGGACAGCGCCCAAGCCCAGAGTTCAAGCCCCACAACCGACCAAAAAAAAAAAACAAAAAACACAGAGTTTGAATGAGAGAAAGGCTGAGTGATATGTCCAACAGAGAGTCTCTCTCCCACCCCCTTCCTCTCCCTCCCTCTCTCTCTCTCTCTGGCTTAAACTGAGTGCTGCATGCTCTCACTCAGCTTTTTTCACTCACAGTTGGATCTCTACCACGTTAGTCACTCCCCTAGTTCCAGCTTTTTGCTGGTGAAGTAGAATAGTCTCTTGAATGTATCTGCCCAAACTGGCTTCAAATGAAGATCCTCAGAATTACAGGTGTAAGTCACTGGCACTTAACCTGCCTTTCCTCTCCTTTATGTGAAGAAAAATATTTCCTGTTGTTATAAAAGGGCAAGAAACTTCTCTCCTAATTTGTTCTTAATACACACCTGAGAAGTGAATTTTCCGAGTCCCTTACAAAGGAGCTAAGTAAAACTGAGGTCAGACAGCCCTGTGGCTGAGGAGGAAGTTCAAGAGTGTTTTTCATTCCTCTTCTAAAAAGGAAGAAGAAACAAGTTTCCCAATCTGTCCCTTAAAGTAAAACAGACTGAGAAAAAGGGTGCCAAGAATAGTCTGTGACGCCATTACAGAGTCCCCAAATCAATTTCAGTTGCCAAAGCCTTATGCAAGTAGAAGGAAAAGGACTTAACTGTGATGATGTATACGAGACAATAGCCAAATTCCACCTCATTTTTACACACACACCATGACTAATCACTCCAAAAAGATAAGAAGAAAAAGCCACCTTTACAGAATTTCTCTGCCTAATTCTAAGACATAATTTTATTATATGTAACTCCTACTCATAAAAATCACTAAGGAATACTCCACGAAATGGAAACAAGAAGTTTTTTTTTTCTTTATTGCTATTTGTGATTTTTCTTTTCTATCTTGTTTGTTCGTTTATCTGGTTTTGGAAGGGGGGTGGTGCACAGAAATGGAGGGACAAAGGGTGAACAAAAGCAGCAGTGATACTAGATGCTATGTTGAAAATGAACTATGCAACTTGTGGGTGCAGACCAGAGAGAAAAATTGGGAGAGTGTGAGGGAAGGGTGACACTCCAAAAAGAAATGTATTCCTAACCTGACTTATGTAACTATAACCCCTCTGTATATTACCTTTTGAATAAAAATTTAAAAATTTAAACAAATCACTGAGAATATAGCACAACTCAAAGGAAACTGAGTTAGTTTTGGTTTTTTGTCAGGTATGGGGCTTGAACTCTGGGTCTGGGCACTGTCTTTGTGCTCTTCAGCACAAGGTACGTATTCTACCACTTGAGCCACAGCTCCACTTCCAGTTTTCTGATGGTTAATTGTAGACAGGAGTCTAATGAACTTTCCTGCCCTGGCTGGCTTTGAACTGTAATCCTCAGATCTCAGCCTCCTGAGTAGTCAGCATTACAGGTAAGCCACAGACGCCCAGCCTGAGTTACTTTTATACACTCTTCTTACAATTTGTCTTGCGCCAGCAATTTTACTCCTTCTAGTTATATGATATTGGACAATTAATTTCTTTGAATCTTAGTTTACTTCTTTGTAAAACCAAAATTGCAATATCTACTTCAGAGGATTTTGGTAAAGTTGCAATAAGAAAAGAGCTGTGAGGCCAGATGTGATGGCATAGGCCTGTGAGGTAGCACCTGGAAGGCTGGGGCAGGCAGATTAAGAATTTGAGGCCATACTGGGTTACATAATGAGACACTGTTGCTTAAAAAAAAAAAAAAAAAA